AGTAGTAAGGCCAGGAGCCCCTAGTAGCGTCCTTGCTCCTAGTAGTAGGGCCAGGAGCCCGTAGTAGCGTCCTTAATAAGGCCAGGAGCCCCTAGTAGCGTCCTTGTTCCTAGTAGTAAGGCCAGGAGCCCCTAGTAGCGACCTTGCTCCTAGTAGTATGGCCAGGAGCCCCTAGTAGCGTGTTTGCTCCTAGTAGTAGGGCCAGGAGCCCTAGTAGCGTCCTTGTTCCTAGTAACGATGCCCTTTGTTCCTAGTAAAGTGTTCTCAGGCGGATATCATGAAGACGACCAGCCATGCCAGCATGAAGACGACCAGCCAAGAGAGTGTCTACGCAAGCATGCGTTCATGTCCCGAGTGGAACGGACAAGGGGAGAAAACTAAGACGACCAGCTCTTTTTTTCCATATTCTTGAGCAGAGGGTTGCACGCGTTGCTTGGTTTCTTTGACATGGCTCTAGCCTAACTCTGATTTTACTTCTTTGTGTTATTTTTTACCGTGTTTTACGTTCTATAGCCGGACCGTGCTAAAATCCCAACGGTGAGTTGGACGAACCGCAGTTCCTTTGACTGCAGACCATCGGGGGTATAGTTCTGAAACACTTGGGTCCTATGAATGGGAGTTATAGATCTTCAGATTTCAATGATGGTGTACTTGTTGTTTTCTCTTTTTTGTTTATCCAAATCCTTAGTTGTTTGTCTTTGTTTTGCTGTGAGTAGTTCCAGATTTATGCAGCCTTGTGACCAACGTTCCATGGTCAGATGGTAAATGTGGGGATGGCCGTGATTATATAGATACATCAAGGTAAGCTACATCTACAAAGTTCAAGGTAAGCTACATCTACAAAGCTGCAAAGTTTTGACATGTATAGATGATCATGGGGGCCGTCCTGACACAAAATAATGAAGGATAAATCGTTCCCACATTGTTTCTGTGATCCAAATTTCAAGTGTCACTTGCAGTGCTTTTGTATTCCTGCGGGTGCTTTGGTCATTGTTTGTCATGTCCTTTTGTTTTGTTGATCTTGTCTTCGGATGGTTTTGGTGAGGAACTTTCGCAAGGTAAAGGGAACTTCGTACATTCCACACATGTGTATTGTATGTATAGTATATAATACATTATATGCATGTCATATATAGAAAGAGACACCAGCCGCGACAAAACAAATGCAAGCAACTCATGTGTTCGCTTTTTGTGCTATCCACCATGGATGATTCTTGTTGAAATCGAGTCCGTGCAGCTTCACCAACCAAAAAAGAGTACAGCTTCCTTTTGTATGTTCCAATGTTGACTGCTGATTTCAGGTCTGGGCTGGGCCCCGTCTCTCCAGCAAGGTTTTACATCCTCCAGTCCTGGGTTTTATACATTTATACATGTGAGGTGGCGTTCCACTGCTTGACCTCGCTGTGGCTTTTTCACCTAGAGACTGACTCGACCGCATCGCGCTATACATTTATACATGACCCTCACGTCATCGCGTCCTCCTTCCCAGGTGAGCCGGAGACGGCCAGCCCTTCGGTCGCCCACGAGACCGGGCACGGTGTTGGCAGCCATGAGCTCCGCATGGAGCGGCGCATCTCCGAATCCAGCCACTCGGCCGGTCTGAAAAGCACCGGAGCTTGACTCCCAAGCTGGCAAGCTGCCTGTGGTGATGATTCTCTTTGCCCTTAAAGAGATCCCACAGTCCCATGTGTTTCAGAGCAGGTCTGGAACAGCTCGCCAGCCTCCAACAGGTCTGGAACATGTGTCAGTTGAGTCAACAACCCCCCTGAAATGGCTCCCCCCCACCTCCACACCGGCTCGTCTTTACTTCCCCCGCTCTCAACGGGTGATCGACCTCACCTGCCGAACTACCGGGTGACCTGCCCGGGTCACCTAGATCGACCCGTTCCGTACCGTTCAGGCTATGACCTGGCCAAGAAAGAGGCCTCAAAGATTGAGGTGCGCAAGGAGCCGTGTGGGAGAGACTGGTTTAGTTGAGTATAAGTGGTTTGTTTGTTTGTTTTTTCAGAGCACAGACTATGTCAGACTGGTTCATGAGGTTGGTTCTGTTCTTGTTCTTGGTGATATGCTGATCAACCAGACGTTGCACCAGCTTGGATTTCCGAAAAGACTCTGAATGCTTTGACGTCAGACTGACTCTACGTCAATCAATGATTGCTAGAGCTGAAAAACATGTTCCATTGGTGATGAGAGTTCGAGAAAGTTGCAGCCCACCATAAGCTATGTCAAATAACTCTACTTCGAGATACCCCCACCAGGGAGGGTAGGGGTGTGGACTGGGAGCCCTGAAGTAGCCACCATGGAGCTGCCAAAAAGCGATCTTAGGTAACCACACCAACTTGCGGACTCGTCCATGTCACGCCCCTAACAGCCTTCCACTTGGTGGGGTACTCTAGGGTATGTATTCACATGAGTACGGTTTGTACAAAACATGCAATGTACACAGTGTTCCACAGACCGGTGTAAGACACAGTCAGTTGCACACGTGAATTAATTCACACGAAGAGCATCTAATTTAAGTGTTCCACGAGAGCAAGCGAAGATCTTGTTTCAGACGAATGCTGTTTTTGACTTTTTGGTATAAGTTATGGCGTTTGTCAAATGACAACTCATCAGAGGATTCAACACTAATCAAGGCATGGTCTAATTGAGGTGTGAAAGGTGTTCGAATGTTAAGAGGATAGACTTGTCCCGGGGCTGAAGCATATTCCGCAAGAGTGGCGTACGCGAGATCATTTTTTGTTTTTTTTGGGACGGGCAGCAACACCGATCAAGCTTCGGTGGAAACCTCAGCGCACTAGCGAACTCGACGTGACCCACTAGTATTTTCAAGGTATAGGACAACGGCCCGAAAAGCTGATGTTTGATCACCTAATCCGCGAAACTTGTTCGGTTTCTGTAGTGCAACTTGTTCGGAGGACAATTCATAAGGGACTGCATATCCTTTATCGAAATCATGTAGCCATACTGGTAGACATTTGCCTGCAAAAATAGTGAACTGCAGCGCTAGCTCACACCAAGTAATACCAAAATCTTCTTTATCCAATGGTAAATCCGGGTGTCGCCATGTTAACTGCTGAAACAAATGCCAAACGGCTACCGCATACCTATATCCGGCTGGACATGCATCAGCCACCACAGGGAGGAGATCTCCTGTCATAGACCAAAGAGGTCCAGTGACTTTCCAGTCAACAAGTTTCTGTTTATAGTGAGAAATATCATCTATATTGCCAGAATTAGGATCACCCTCTCCATTATTTTTAATCTTTTTCGAGACACATTTTGGAATGTAGTGCATTCAAGTCGAGCAAATAGCGGTATATGGCTACCAAGACTGATTGCTGTCGTCTGCAGTGGTGGTCAATATTCTCGGTGATGGATATCATGGCTGTGATGTCTTGCTTATTAGTGATCTTGGCTGTTTCATCAGCAACTGTATTGCCCGAAATGGCTGATTGCAATGACATGGGATTTAATATTCAATACTCGAAAGTGAAAGGGATCCCAAGTGGACTGAATCTGTTGAACTAAGTCGCAGTCTGCCATCTGGTGTGTTTTATGGTCAAGCGTTTGATTGGCAATGGTTTGAATGATTCGGACTACAAATTGGGAGTCAGTGTGAAGGTCAACAAACGGTCGTGGTATTTGTCGAGAGAAGAAATCAGACACCCATGCTGCCGCCCCGAGTTCACCATGGTTAATAGACTGCGTGCCTTGCACATGTGAAGTCTGGAACACCTCAAAATCATTAATACCTGGATCGGAATGATTGAAGTTAGTTTGGCGGACATCGCTTTGCCGCAGATGACATCAATCTTAGGTAACGGATGACATCGCTTTGCCGCAGACGTTGACGCGCACATTGCTTTCCACAATACATGTTTACATTATACATTTAAAGGGCGTCCAAGAATATGGTTGCTTCAATAAAATCGAGAAAGCGAGTACGGTTCCACAGTCATTGTGTGAGTATTATTTACAGGTATTTACAGCGTCCAGAGCCAGAGTGAAGTATTGATTTGCTTGTCCAGTGAACCAGCTATAGAGCTGGTCCCTTTGGGGACGCTGGTATCCACTTGCTTGAGTGACTCTAAAATGCGCAAGTAGTGGGGAAGGAAAGTGCAGATGAACCTCAGGTTTTTCTGGATGGTGAGATAAACCCAGATCAACCTGATCAACGTTGCAACGCTTGTTTCTTGGAGCAAGACCCGGGCATGAGACGCTTCGCAGGAGGTATACTCGAAGAGCATGCTGAGTTGCTTGGCATGGATAGGTATTGACTAGCTGAATAGCTTTTCCGATAGGAGACAGGGGCTGAGGCTTGCTGATTCTCCATACAAAGACATGTCAAAGGATGCTTAGAATTGTAGAGGTGCATCCCTAGCAGACTTGTGATCCCAGATTGATGTTTTTCGATGTCCGTGTCGGATCGTTGCGTCACATGTTCTCAAGATCCCCGGTATGCGGCACCTGTCGGTATGCACAGAAGAATCAACTAACCGGATGGGAAAGGTACCAGTGGCCTACCCACATGTTTAGGTGGCAGCAGGGGCATATGCGCGTAAGGAGTGTGTAAGAGAGTTACAATATCAGCCTCCAGGTTCTATGATCATTTTTGTGGATCTTTGGTTGCATGGTCGAACCCTCAAACTAACACTGTACAGACCCTTTGTGGCTACTGCTTGAAGATCGTCAGGCAAAGGACGCTAGGCCTCGCTAGGCATGACTGGCTGAAGTTAGGCACATCCTCCTTCGGCTCAGCCCAGGGCCATTTTCACGGTCATGCCTATGGTTCACGCCGTTTCGTAGCCATTTAAACCATTTGGATCTTTGGGCTTTCCGGTCTACACGTCGGTTTCACGTCGTTTCGTGCGTGACGCCATGGACCGGCAAAAACCTTTGCACGACGACCGGTCCGATGCATGGGTGCCTGATCCTTCGGTCGTAGTCATGGTATGCTGTGGTAGTAGTCATCCATTTCAATGGATGGAATATGGAGGACACACGGGACATGTCAAACAATTTCAACACATCTCCATTACGGTTACGAGAGAGTGTCGTGATCGTCACCCTCTCGTCACTCATGGCTTCTCTTGGTTTGCACAGCCCGGTTTTCCAGGTGACGCCAAGCCGAAGAGCTGCTTCGATCGTGTTTGCCCGCGCTACAAGAAGATCCAGTCCTTCCTACGGCCCATCGTGACCTGGAAAATAAATGAACATAACGGAGCTAGTTAGTGGAGCCGAGTGGAGCATCCGTGGATTAGTGGAGCGTTTTTCTTCAGCCGAGGCATGTGTTTTCTTTCGTTAAAGCCCGCCCTTACTTGATTAAGTATGTGCCTACTTAATTTCTGTAAGGGCTGGGGAGCCTGCTACTAGCGAACGGAGGCAGGATGCTCATGCTTGTTCATTTGGTTCCTAGATTCATGATGGAACTGTTGTCGAAGTTGTTGATCCAATCACTTGCGCAAGCATAGAAACGCAATTCAGACTGGATGTTGATCTATATCTATATCATTTGATATATAGCAACTTCCAAGTTGACTAGCAAGTTATTTTGTAACGTATATTATACCTGTGTATAATACCCTAGAACTTTGAACAAATAGATCAACATCCTTTGCAGTTGAACACTCAAGTTTGCTTGAATTGTTGTACCTATTATTGTTTTGGTGTTGGCCATGCTTATTTTGATTAGTGACACTACACGAAAATATGATTGATCAACCAGTATTGCCACTTAAACTGCGGCCCTTGCAGGATGATGCATAAACATTGTCCAGACCACATATTATTCCGGTAGGCAGCCGGGTTGGCTAGGATTGAGAATTGGCCGGACTGACCCAAACCGAACGCACCCCAAGTCTTGGGTGGTGGCTTTATAAACTCTTGTGTTCAACTTTTACTTGAGATGATTGTCAATCATCTCAAGTAAAAGTTGGACATAAAAGTTTAGATTGACAATCTTGGTGAGTTGAAACCACCTAACCAGGTCATGTCTTTTTCACCCTGTCCTTCTCGCGCCGTACCGCGAGCAGTCGTTCGCGGCAGCTAAGGTGAAGAATCCCAAGTTCGAGATGTTCTTCGCGGTGATCTTGGCGGCTTCGCGGTGATCCCAAACGGGCAGACCTGCTCTTCAGCACTCGCAGCTGTTGGGAACTGGATGTAATTTGATGTGTTCTGAGTGATTTGAGGGGAACATGTGTACCTGCAAAAGACCACTATATAATTATATTGGCAACTGGAAGTGTAAGGAGATGTGAAATGACCACTGCATGACTGCATGGCCCTTGATTGCAGGTCGAGGTTTTCAAGAAATCCGCATGGCTCACTGGTTTCGGTACTAGTTTGTCACTATATAATACATGACTCATGACTGTCCAATGCCTGGTGAGGTGTCTTCATGGCTTGTCTCTTCAGTTTCGGAAAAGTTCAAGAACAGTAATCCCCAGCTCCGCCAACAAGAACCCACTTTCCTAATGATGTTTTTTGTGTGTGTGTATACTTTACTTGTTTGACCAAATCACCAAGTCCACGCGAAATGATGAGCCATGAGAATGAGGTCTTCAGTGTCAGTTTTTTCCTGACAGCACTTCACTGGTGAAGCGACGTAGAAAGTTCGGGGGTTTTGGGTTGAGACCGAGGTGTTCACCAGAAAGTCACATTTATGTATGCCTTCTTTTTCTTGGAAAGCCATCGATGGAAAAGCGTTGTGAAGCGCCAAACCATATGATCTTTATCATATTGTTTGGATCTTTCAGCAGCCGTGTGATCATTCCCAAACCTGTTGCAACCCACGCGGAGAACTCCGTCCAAGCGAACCCATAAACCCGAACAAATTGCTTCGAACTAGTGCGGGTGTGTCGGGCCAGGGGATGAAGGTTCAGACCCAGATGTATGGAGACCAAGGTGGCCAACTCGTTGTATATTGGAGCTCAACTACAATATATGTCCACGAGCCGCTTTGCACGGCTGGAAGGGGCAGTCTTGGGCAGAAACGAAGAAGCAAACCTTTACAATCTCTTGGGTTTTGAGGATTGAGGAGTCGGTGCTTTGAGGGTGAGACAAATGACACCCGGAGTTTGAATCAGTGGGGCATTCAACTTCGAGCCTTTTGCTTGGAAGATTTGAGATGCAATCTTGACTGTGGGAGCCACCCTGATGAACCCAATGATGAAGGGTGAAAGCAATGTGATTGGTCATGGTTGGTCATTGTATGAGCCACAACATGGTTCACGAGTAGAAATTCTTGGCCACATCAAACAATCGCTTACCTAAGTTGGTTCAACGAGCAATGTGTCAAAATAATCATGGATGTAGACACCTGGGGAACCGTTTGAGGGGGCTTTGTTTGAATACCCTTATCTCATGTTTGTAGTAGCGCTCCGTTGCATGTTTGATGGGGTTAAGATTAGGGCACCCAATGGACTGTTGTGCCCATCAGCCGGAGTGTATATAGCTGGTTGCTGCGTGCCTTTTGCATTTTCTTTGTTGGGCGGGTCAGGCGGTACTGTGATCAGGAGCTGGCTTAAGAACATGCAGCTATTTGTATTTGGACTTTTTCTTTTAGCTTATCGCGTTATTTTTTTGCTGGGTGCCTGATGCTTCTCTATGTTTCCTCCCAGCCACAGCAGCCACAGCTAAAAAATCGTAGACCAGCAAATCATGAGCCCTCAGCGAGCCAGTTACATTGCTCGATTGGGGTCTTGTGAACCCACTGAATCAATGAACGTCAACTGGGCACCAAAAGAAAGCCAAGACAACTCCCACTTGGAAGACTCAAGGTGCATTTGCACAAGGTTTCAAACATGTTATATAAACATGTGCATTCGCTCAAAAATATTGTCCCGCCATTTCTCTTCAGTTTGCTGCGATCTCAACTCGAGCCGGTCGAGCGCCGCAGGTCAAAGCACCAGGTTCGAGCCGGCCTTCATGATTGCCCATGTGATTTTTGCCAGCCTCTTTACCCTGGACAGTTGTTTTCTGAAGTGTCTCTATTATTTGTCCGCATGAAATATCATAAAATACCCTCTACACGTTGAAAGAACACCGTGCAAGACATCTTCCCATCAAGTATTGTTTCTTCTAGATTGCGGTGAATGTATGGACATAAACAGGTGGAAGAAAGACCTACTGTAAATGTAAAATGATGCAGCATGTCAAATGGAATAAACCGTAGACAGATGTAAACAGGTTCTGTAAACGTTGCAGATGTCAAATGGGCAAACATGTTCCCGACAGATCGGCTTCCAGCTCCAAGACAAGCGCACCTCGTGACAGCAAAGGGTTTGTTGAAGCATGGACTGGCAGTGGCTTTGCTTTCCATCACTTTAGAGCCCAAGCAAATATGCCGCTGTGCCATACTGTGCCTCATTTCAAGAGCTGCTGCACACCCGTTGATGTCAATCACGGTGCTTCAACCAGGATGATGTAAAAAGGCGGTTCTGGAGGGTCGGCCTGGGATTTGAGGAGGCGGTTATTGGGTTGACTTTTGTTTTAATAATCTTGTGCTATTTCACCTCAGTTGTTGGTTTTCCCTTTGCGAACGACCCGGAAAGGGCCGGTCCGACCGGGCCGCTCCAAATTCTTCCATGTTCTAGTTGATCCCATCCTTTCTACTTCTACTCCAAGATCTTACACCTCATATTCCGATTATAACCAACCATACTAGTTCTAATCCACTCCACACAGACCCTCCCGGCAGGAATGCATGCTAGAGCTGGTTGGCCTGGGTATTCGGAAGTTCCTCTTCTCTGCCACTGGGATCGGAACGGAAGTCGCGGTCGGTCGAGGTGGGCTGGAGCGTTGACCAAGGTCGCGATCGGGGTCGATTCGGTGTCGTTCAGGGCTTCATATTGCAACAAACATCTTGTGACTGCCAGGAAGGCTTGAGAGATGATTTCAGTCATGCAAGCGTTACTTGGTACCATTTGTTTTAATGCATTCAACCGCAAACGGGTTCTGATTAAATAGGACATTGCCATGAATTACACCGGAAATGTCCGGTCTCCCAAACCTGTCACATGTCTTCATCCAAAACCACCCAAACCACCGACATGTCCAGCTCAGCATGTCCAGCTCTGCACGTCCGAACGTCCCGTGGATCCGTACGTCCGTCGAAGCGGCCGCTCGTTGCACGAACTCCGCCGAGTCGACGGACGAGTCTCTGAGGCTGGTTGGTTTTGGGGCTGGTTGGACGAGTCTCGGCCAGACCTGGAGGGAGGAGAGGATCGAGCAGGGGTGCATTTTGATGGGATCCTCACTCACTTGAAATGAGCAAAGTGAGGGTTCCAACACCTTCTCCTTGGATTTGTAGGGAATTGTGTTGGCTTGAAGGTAGGAGCCGCGTGGAACCACTCAAACCTTTGGACATGTGAACATAATTTGACAAGACCTATAGATCGTCCCATGAAGAGAGTAGATGCTTCGAGGATGGATGAACACCCTCCTCCCTATGCTCTTGAGGTTTGCATTGGCTTGTGTCTACAGTGATTACTGACCGGGGAGGTCAGTACGAGTGTGTGGATACTTTATGCATCTTTATGTTTTTGTTTGGTGCTGTGTTGTGTGTTTGTTTGACATGAACAACGTACATAACAAGTAACATGTGTGAGTGACACATTCATCCTCCAGCACCAATGAAGGCATTAGGAAGGCAAACCACCTGGGAGGCCCGTTTTCAAACGGTTTGCCCCGTGGTCGTTCCTGGCGCCTTGCGGGCGCCGGCGCTCAGGTGTTGGTGGTGATCAGCGCCTGGATGGAGTTTGCGTTGGACATTACCAGTCAAAGCAGCTCCGGGTCCAACACCGGCGTACGTATCTTGAAGGCGAGAGATGGTCCACCGAGGTGGAACAGGTGGCAATGTGTGGCAACCAAATGGCAGCTGCGCTTGGGCTAATCCTAACATATCCTAACTATAATTGAATAATATTGAATGTACAAATATTGATATAGTGTGCGGTATTCCGTATTCAGGCTGCTTTGGAGCTGCTGGCTCGTTGGGTTGAATTCTGAATAGGAGCATCAACATTTGAGTCCACTCGCCAGAAGAGGAGTGTGCTGAGCAACCAATAATTTCTTGGCAACGCCAATGATTGCAGTCTGTTGGAATCTACATAGTCGTGAGCAGGGAACCAGGTATGTTTGGCTTCCTCAAGCACTTGACCCGTGACCAACCTGCGGTCCGCTTCGGCAGGTCTTCCGCTTCACTCGGCTTCTACAGGGGCTGCGGTCCTTGCGGATCATCCGCTTCGTGGGCGGCCTGAGGATATTGGTGGTCTCCATGTGGCTTCGTTGCACGTGTTCCAAGTCGGACCCAACGCATGAAGGGTGTCATAGTGAAGGGTGTCATAGTGGCCCGTGTTGTGCTTCGTTTACTGCCGTGCGAAAGCTGTTTTGTGCTTTGTGTGGTGTTTTGTGTGGTGTTTTGTGTGATGTCGTTTGACTCAAATCTTGATAGCAAGGATGGATTTGCCGTAGGCCCACCCTCCAAAAGTGTTAAGACATCCCTCAAGTCCATCAGTCCTGTTTGTGGGTTTCTTTTACACCCCTTTGCACTGCATACCACTCTGTTGCAAAGAGAGGGAGGTCAGTTTCTTTTTCGTCTAGGCATGTCTGGGCCGTCTCTGGCCTGCCAGGTCTGCTGCCTCGTTTCATGTCACCCGGTCATCACGACGGTCGCGGCAGACACGTTCGGATGGACCCCATGACTGGCACCGACCCGTGGAGAGGCGCTCCTCCTATAGAAGCGATGCACTTGTTACTAGTAGCTTCTTGTTTCTACTAGTAAGGCACTTGTTACTAGAAGCGATGCACTTGTTCCTAGTACGCTCCCGAAAAATGTCGCGTTTCCATTCATTGAACAGTCCGAACTCCGAGTTCGCCCAAACGGTCTGATCGGATTTCCACGGTTCGCAAGGTTTGACGCCACCAGGGCACTGTCTTGGGTATCTTGGGCGCGTTAGTTGTCGGGGATTCTGAAGCTAATTGCGTTATTTCGGTTAAAGAAATCCAAGACTGTCTACTGCACAAGTTCGGACCTATGACTGGCCGTCCACCATGGCCAAACACGCATTGGAGTATTCCAGTGAATCACAGGTACCGACTACGTACTGTTGGAGGCAGAAATTCTGCACTCGAAGAAGCACGACCTTGACCCTGATTCTATGGTGGGGCAGGATTTCGATCGAGCTGGTTGCCCCTCACTTTGTACCCTAATTCATGTTACTTTGATTCACATGAACTCCTTAAGGATCCTTTCTATTTGTTTTTGTTTACTACTATCTTGTCGCAAGTCTGCAAGAGCTCGTACAGACTTCTACCCCATTTGGCTGGTCGCTTTGTCGATGATTCATCTCTGGAAGACGGTCAAAAGGACTTACTCGAGTTCTTTCGCCCCGCTCGAAGTTCACATCTCAGGCTTTGCTGTTGTTTGCGCTGGTCGTCTATGTCTTCGGAGTGGTCTTCTCAAACGCAGCCTTAGATTCCTTGCCCCTCAGAGCAGAGGGTGCCGTTCTGGGTCATTGGAAGAGCTTTGGTCACACATTTGGATTTGACCCACATGGCCCGGTGAATTCAGACCAAAACACTTTTTGCTGAAAGCCGCTCAGTTGAAAGGAGGACGCTTGTAATGAACATATCGACATGAAACATTGAGAACAGATTATAATGCATGCTGATTCCACAACTTGAACTCCCCGGGCAAATCAACATGATAAAGCATAAAAGGAAGACGATGAAAGGAAAGATATCGACAATTACTCCTTCATATCTTATATGAATGCACATAATATTATGTATATATTGTGTGTGCAGCGTATAATATATATAGTTACATAATATAATATATAGTATATACATATTGTATATATTGTGTATGTATGAGATACTCATACATGCTGCATGCTGAATAGATACTTCGCAGACAGGTCCCTCCATGGACCAGAGCTAGCAAACCAGCTACTCCCTCAGCAGTGCCGAGTCAAAGGTGATACTGATACTGTTCGTATTTTTTGAGGAGGTTTGACAGCCTCACAATACAGACTAAGATTCAGTATGTTCACAGGCTGTGCCTTCCAATCGAGAAGCTTGCGGTCCCAAACCACTTCCAAGCGCATAGGCATAGAGAATCATACAGATACACTCTCTGCACTCTCTTACGCTCACAAGTCATGACAACAGTCAGTACAACAGTCAGTCACAAGCAGGTTTGCAACGGTTTGCGTGTTTTTTTTCTCTCACCAAGCGGATTGTGAGTGTGTATGTGACATGCTTTTTCACTCCGGGTAGTACATGTATATTTTTGAAATAATGTCGTATTATTTTCTATAATGGTGCACACCACTATACCTAGAATCGGTGCAGATGGAGCCCGGCTCAGTTGCAGGTTTGGATCAACTGATTCGAACATGACCTGACGCCGAGGCCATCAGGGGATGCACACCCCGAGCTCGTGAAGTATTGGGGCAGCGTCGACCGCGCCATCGCAACGCTTTACAGGCCGTGCCGGCATGTGGCGAGAACAGGTGCTTGGGTTAGGTCGACGCTGCAGCTAAACATATTTGGGTACTCCTGATCACTCTAATTGGATCTAATTGGTGTTCATGGTCTTTTTGTGATGAGTTTGAACGTTCCACGTAAAGAGATAAATACTTCCAGCTAAGGAAATCATTTCCACGTCCTTCAATCACTGCTTTATGCATTTTCTTCCTGGTCTTGGCCCTCACCCTGCATCATGTACTTACTTGGATTTTCATGTACACTTTTGGAGCTATTGATAAGGAACTTAGAATTGCCAGCTGGCAAACAACAAGCTGCCATTTTGTGTCCTTTCCTTCTTTTGGGCCACCCCCTATCTAATCGTTCAATCTTTACATTGGATTCACACTTCCCAGTCTATGCTGTGTGCTCAAAAGTTCATCCACCCAGCCACAAAGCAATACAGAAAAGGTTTATCTTAAGTACGGTATGTTGGTGATATGGAAGCTCACATCAAAAAGTCCACCCAATACTTGGTAGCAGAGGGTTACACTTCGGGAAACTCACTTGGACCCGGGTCGAATGGAACCCTCAAAGACTGTCTTCCTCTACAAACCAGTGGTTTTCAGTGTTTTTGTTAGTTTTCAGTGGGGTAAGACGTAAGCCCCATACAATTACTATTTGTTTGTTTTGCCTCGTTGCTTTTTGGGAGGCGCAGAAACTGCATCCTTCACACCCATTGCTCAAACATGTCCATCCAGTGCAGTTGCAGTAGGGGATTTGCGGCCAAGTACGATCACGTGTTTCAAGTCTACGCGTGTGAGAAGCGAGAAGTTAGCCTCTTATAGCTCATGGATGGTTTCTCTTCGCGCTAACAAACATGGAAGTGGACGGCCTTCAAGAAGACAATTTTCCTCTACAAACCGGCACCTTTTTCCACTATGCGTGTGACTGACTCGCAGTATGTGACCACAGATCAACCACTCGGAGTATGTGAAAATACCCATCCAGTCGTGTGTCCAAAGGAGTCCAAACAGTGGCGACCGTCCGAGGTCGATTCTGGGCGGCTTGGATTGGGGTGACGCCGCCGACGCCTTGCTGGGCACGAACAACATCATTTGGGCACCTCGGGCCCAGGGCACAAACGAAGGACGAACCCGCTACAGTAGGTGTTCAACACGCATTCTTGCAGACACCTGATTGATGATATTGATTCCCTTTTCTTTTCGTTTTCAACATGTTCGCAGATGAACCGATGATGAACCGGTTCACCGCCTTCATTCTAGTTTGTTGCGCAGTCCATCCTGTCCTCATTGTTGGGTGGGTTTCGGGTCATTTGTAGCTGCTTGATGATGTTGTGGTGTTGTGGTGACTTGTGCCTGCTGAGGTGCATGTGTTTTATTTCTACATTGGCTTCATATGCCTTCTCATCCTCAATGTGATGACTGGCGCTGCTTTGCCGAAGAAAGACAAGACAGATTTCGGGATGAAACCATGAGTCCAAGCGGTGGTCGACTGAACCATGAGTCCAGCGGTGGTCCATGAGTCCATGGAAGGCGGTTCGGACTTTGCATGCAATCACTTTTGTGTCGCGAGTCCCTTTGCTATATGTCAGGTTTTCTTTGACCAAAGCATTCGGAGCATAGCCGCAAAGGACCCTTACAGTTCTAGCGGTCACTAGCGTTTTGTGTGTAGGCACAACTCGTTGTGACGACCCAGATTCTTGAAAGTTCCACGAAAACCCTCAGACACAGGGATCCATATCTTGATGCATTCCTCATCTTCCAAACCGGAACCACGCCGGGCACGCCGCGCCTGCTGGGGAACGTCACATCCGCTGATTCTCACAGATCTGAGAAGTCAGATTCTCAATCACTTTGTGTTCGAGATCAAGATATCAAGAGACGATGGGTTTTGTTGAATTGGGGATTGGGGACCGTATATATGTTCAGCTATTTTTTCCTAGATATGTTCATCTCACTTCAGCATTCTCCAACTGAACATCGAAGAGTGGGCAACTCTGCCTGTCCGGCAGGTCTTTTGATCCTTGGCCGCAGCCACGTCGCCGAAGTCGGCTCACCACATCACGGAAAAGCTTTGGACTTTGGGTGGCCGTAGGAGAACAACATAGAAAAACAAACAGAAAGAAACAAAGAAACAAACCTGGCCCTGTCCTCCTTGAATGACACTATAACTCTTTTTTGGTATCAAGGTCCGTTTTGTGTTTTAATTCACGACGCATTTTGGGTGGGCTGACTTGGCAGCGTCGAGTTGGCAGAGTTTTGGCATTCTGCGCCTACACCTGTGTGCGCCTGGTGGACAAATTATGTGGGGTGTGTTTGATTTGGAGATCTTCAGAATCGGGGTGCAGCCACAACCACCCATGACTCCTGCGCGTGCTACTTGTGCTCAGATCACCCTTTGGCTCCTCATCAGGTGCGTCTCATCCAATAGCAAGCCAATCATGTGCCGCACGATTGTTGTTGAACATGTTAAAGGCTCTTCATGACTACGGAATACATATGTTGCATGGGTGACCACAGCAAATGTGTTGCAGCAGAAACAAAACGGATGTGGACAGATTACAGGCAACCTACAGATGACAGGGGTTCATGTTGTGTTCCCTTCATTGACGTTTCCCACATCACAAAGGGTATTGAATTTGGACCAGTTCAGAGAGCATGGGAAGTTTGCTCTTGCTGTATGCCGAGCTTATGTGTTTGAACAAGCTTGTTACTAAGTTATGGGGTCACCAAACTCCCCAGTTGTGTCGGGATCGGCTGACAGATTTGAAGGTTCCACCCCATCCTCGCTCAGGCAATAGCGCGATCCGCGCGGCCGAGCACGACCATGACTCCGGGGCCGGTCGAGCGACCGTCGACAGCGGATTGAGAGTAGATGGGACAATCGCCGAAGGTGGTCCATATAAACCACTGAACTTTGGGGTAACTGGTGCCATTTGCTCTGAAACCCTTGGACGTACTGAAGAATACTCAGAGGCAAATGGAAGGGTAGTGCACAGAAAGAGTTTTGCAAACACCTATTCTACTAACATCGTGGAAGGCGCAGGTCATTCGTGGAACCCGGGGCTATTCGTGGACGTTTCGTGGAATGGTGGGCCAGTAGGAAAACTGACTGCAACAAAATCCCAGAAACCTTCGTACAACTTCGTAGAAGGTATTTTTGATGCACTAACTTCGTACAGGTGATTTTGGCTGACCCCCTTTCTCCACGCGCCCTCCGTTGAGCCTTCAAATACTGAAGACATGGACGTACGGATTGTTTGTTCTTTAGGAACCACCATTCATTTGATTCTTCCAAGCTTGGGCTGGAAAGGTGTTTGTTGATTTGGTGCAGAGTCCTGGCTCGGATCGTATCAAGACTCAAAGAACTGGTGGTGCTAGATACAGTTCCCAGAACCAACATAGTACCAAACTTGAAAGAGATGCAACGGACTAGTACATCAATTTACCAGGTGACTTGCATATAGAATTCCTTGGGCATCAATTTCTGCCTATGACGGTTGTAAGCCGCCTTTGTCCTTCTTTTTCAATTTGGAGGCCATTGCTCTGAGGATCTCTGAGGTTAAGTTTCCCAAAAAATCTAGGAACCAAATGATTATGATTAGTGCGAGCTTCCTTCAAGAAGTGTGAGCTATCCTGCGTCCTAGGTAGTAGCTATTTAAGCTACTAGCTACCTCAGTTCCTTACTTAATTATGTGGGCGCCTACTTCATAAAATCAGTAGGGAAGGGGGGAGATAGCTAAAAAACAAATAATTACAGTGATAATAAAGATGGAGATTCACCAGCTACTGGTTCCGGGGGCCGTGGTTGGTCATCCGCAACTGGGGCAAATCTGGTGCCTTTTGTTGATTTGCATCCTTTTTCGTAGGCGTTCTTACCCGTGATTTATCCGTTCTCAGCCGTCTTCCGCCAGTACAGTCAGTGGCTTGTTGCCTGGACAAAGGAATCGTAGCCTTAAGGGGACTCAGATAAATCCTTTGGACCGGGGGCTAGTGTCAGGTGGCCAGTGTTTGTTTCCCAAAACCTCATGCTAGTTTTGCCTCCTGTATGGTAAGATTAAGACTGCATGTGTTGGTGCCTTCCTTTGATCCATGGTGTCTAGACTCTAGGTCTTTTTGACTTTGCCTTCATAGGTCAGTCCGCAGGCTAGAGGGTGTAAGGATGTGTCTGAAAACTGGGCCCTCCCCACCCCAGGTGGTCTTGGTCCAGCCTGTTGTTGAAAAGCACCAGGACATCATGATGCAAAACCGACATCGCTTCCGGAACATGGCCACCAACCTGTTCCAGATGCTTGGTGCTTTGAAGCGGTGCGAAGTGGATAGACGATGAGAAGTGGAGACGACTTTCTCGTCAAGGAAGGAATAGACCACATGGTCTAACCATTTCTGTACATGTTTGGGTCAACTACTTCTCCGAAAACGAAAGAACCATGATTTGGGTCAACTACTCACTACTTTTTTTCATTCGCATGGACAGACTTCTTGGATGCCACGGCCTCTCAGATCGTCTCCCGTGATGCTGCTCATCCAGCGGCGGCTTGAGGTTTTTCACGCGAAGTGAAGCCCACAAGCTTGGGGTTTTCAACCTTGAGGGGACACCAAGCTCAAAAGAAGGGTCCTCTTAAAACCCTTCAATTTTACTTGGTCCACATGTGTTCCCCTGAAAAAAATAACGCACCTCAAATTGATCGAAGCACCTCAAGGCTTTCCTGAACCATCTACACCGGATTTTCGTTTCGATCCGACCAAACAGCCATCCATTTTGTTTGGTGGAATTGGTCGACCAACCTGTGGAAGTTTGGTCGCCACAACCGACCATTCCTGGGTCTACGGTGTTCCACCTTCCTGGACATTGAGCCAAAATACATGCTCAGATGGTGCATGCGCACGTGCCAACGTCGCAAGACGACCAATAGAATGTTATGTTTGGCTCCACAAAGCCAAAATAGAAGAAGGATGAGGAGGGGATCCAGGAGCAGGACTTCAATTTGCGTTTTGGGTTTGGAACATGGCCTTATTTTTGTTAACATGTTCATGGGTTCATGTTCCATCCATGAGTGAAAGGATGTCAGCTCTTTGCCCCTGAGAGTTTGAAACTGCTACCATAAATAATATGCTGATAAATCAATCACATGCCCACATGCCAAGAAATACTCTAACAAGTTGCGGTGCCAACAACCCCAACCAGTCTGTAGTGGCCATCAGTCCCATAGTCCATGGAATTAAGGAAGGAGTTGGTTTAGGCAAGGCCATGATAGATGGCATCCAGTATGGTATCCATATCCAGCGGACCACAGTGATCAGTGTCTCTTCGAACGGAATTCCTCGTCAACCGGGTCAGTGTCAGGAAGATGGACGACAGTGGTTATGGATCCATCACCATCGATGAGTTTGAGAAGCTTTTCGAAGATGAAGACATGCAGGCCCTCCAACAAAGTCACAAATTAGGAGAGCCAACACTGCAAATGAATATTTGCTTATGCACCCCTTCTGTCAATGTTCTTGCCTGTTAAGAACAGTGTGCTCTCTCTCCCTCCATCCAACACTTGTGGAACATGGAACGTGAGTTCCTCGGTAGTTCCTGGGTTGACGCCCATGCGTAGTGGGTTTCTTGCACCGACCCGGCTGCCTGATGGCCAACTTTCTGGTGCGTGGGACACCCGAATGAACCAAACAACGACCCAGCGCCATTGGTGCAATGTTTGGAAGACTTGCAGTGCCCGCAGTGGCAACGTTGGATACTCTCTGGCGAACTAACTTGAACCACCAGAGAGCTTTGCACTGGTCCAAGTTGCTACCGCGATGATGTGGGCATTTGTCTCAGACAAAGCTATATCAACACACTGAAAGGGTGCGCAGGCACCTCTCCGTGTCGCGTGCTAAGCTGGTGGATAAGTGAATCACCGGAGTGCAACAAACTCAGCGAAGGAACGTGAGTTGCAGGATCGGTTGATGTCCTATAACGCAAAGACCAAACGAGAAGCTGCCAGCAAATGCCGGCAGCAATCAGGCTGTCAGGCTGTGCTGTTCCAATAGTGACAATAGTGGAGTGGAACAGTCAGTCAGTCTTCCTTTTCACTAAATGGTGTCCTCCCGTGTAACGAGGCGGGCTTCCCAAAGACAGTTTCATCTAAATATGCTGCTTGCTCGGACGAACTTGTCCTTGTCAAAGTGCCGTGATCACATGAGTGAATTATTGAACAAATGTATGACACTGGCAACATTGTGGGTGGTTTGTGTCGACAAACATGTTTTCCACATGGGAGAGGTGCAGCCGAAGCCAAAAACAACATGTTCCTTTCGGACGCCCTAGAGAATAGATTCTTGCATAACACCACCTCCTTGCCATCCCAACCGACAGCTATATAATGTATTAGAATGTTATAAAGCAGCTTTTCAACTGTCCGTGATCGCTGAAGATAGCTTTCTATCGGAGATCACTGCGTGTGTTTTTGTTGTTCGATACGATGGAATCGTGGTCGGAGGCCTTCCTTGATTCCATCGAGATCTCAGCCACGGACGCTTGGACGCTCTTCGCCAGTTTGGACATCGACGGCGATAAGGCGCGTGCTGGACATCGGCGCTCCGAAAAGCGGGCGCACGGACGGGTGTTTCAGCCGTTGGGTGTCATTTTCCATCTCGAGAGAAGCCCAAGAGCTCGATGTGTGCAGCTCCCTTCTGGCACCTTCTTGACGGTAGTCAGAGGTCTTCTAGGCCGAGGGAATCCGAGGAGTGGATAATTCTCCGGTGGTTTTTGGACTCATGGGTTTTTTGGGACAAATCGGAATGTTGGGCCTGCTGCACTTGTTCTCAGACATATGAGCTTAGGATAACATAGATATGATAGATATGTGTTTTTCGCGGGGAAGAGTTCATCAAAACAGGACTTTTTCTGCCGGAAGCTTCGACTGAAACATTCGATATGGTGTTCTTTCACTTCAACTGATCACACGATTCAGCGCTTTCAGCCCCTGGGGCCAAGGTGTGAAGGTTGGACGATGGAGTCCTTCTTGGAATTGGGAGTACCAGTTTGGGGAGGATGTGGTGAGGCGTATTTGTTGGTGTTCAGATCTTTTTTGGAGCATAGCCACATGTGTGGTTCCCTCAAAGATTTGACCCCCTGAGCTAAGCACTCATGTATTTTCCTCATGTTGCAATGGCATGGCAAACCTAGCATACCGGCTCAGTGGCTGGACATCTCTATGAGTGTCAGTGGTTGATTTGGCCGGATGCCAGGTCATTAGTGTGGAGGAGTTTACCGAAGGCTGCTTGAAGTTGCTTGCCTGATGATTTAGCCCTTCAGTGGGAGCTTAGTTTCTTCTTGAACTGATAGGAGAGGCAAAGGATTTCAAACTAATTCAGCGCGACAGGTGACAGGTGGGGTGGTCCTTGTACAATTCGCCTTATTCTGGGTATTAATGGATTTGCCCGCTGACACTCACCGCCAAATGGCCGTGGCCGACAGGATCTGCCAGTCGCGCTATTCTGGGTATTGAACCGAATATATTATATATATATATTATATATAGTAATATATAAATTATATAATATATATAAATTAAAACCAATTATTTGAGATCATATAATCTGCAGATTCACCTGAAGATTAACCAGATTGTTGCAGGCTTGCTCCCAGGAATCATCAATTGCAATGCCCCGTTTGCTTCCGTTTAGGTTGCATGGCCCGGCGCGATCCGTGGATTTGTGCCGCGGATGCATGTGTGATGTGGCCGTTTGCAAGAGTTCACATGGACTCAAAGAAGGTGTTTGTTTTGTAGTTCAAGCAGGGCTCGAGATTGCCGCTAGGATAGCGGAAGGACTTTAGGCCCCAGATCTCGACGAGATCGCTTTTTCGAAGCCATAGGGTCTCCCTCTTGGCATCGGAAGCTTAGAAAGAGGAGACAGCGCTTGCGGTTTTACCTACGGCGGCACCGCGATAAGCCTTTTCCTTGTGGAAGGGTTCTTGGAAAGCTGCTTTTTGCCCGAAGGGTTTTGGCAGCACACCATACGAAAGCATACTACTCCCTCAAAGCTATAGCTCTTCGTGAGAACATGCCATGGGGGAAAGGCAGACAGCAGCAATGGTCTGCGTGGGAGTCTTGGAACCAGACCCCACAGAAGAAGAATCGAAAGTGGCAGAAAGACCTCGACAAAGAGCCGGCCTTTTACGGGTACGATGGCGAGAAGGTGAAGGTAGAAGATGCTGCAGACCGTACTTCTGGCCGGTCCTCTTCTATGCCCTCTTCGGACAACTCGCTCAAGGACGAGAACAAGCAGCTCAAAGCTGCAATGAAGTTTGTTCTGGAGAATATGTCGGGCAAGGTGGAGATTCCTGCGGATTTCCAGGATTTGGTGAAGGAAGATCCTCGCGAATCCTTGCGAGAGCGACAGAAGGCTCTCAATCAAGAGAGACGTGGATTGAACCGCCTGGAGAAGGTCAAGGAATCGATAGAAAAGGAGGAAGGCAAGTTCCGTTCCTGGAAGGAATGGATGAGCTTGGGAGTGAAGCAGGAGGAGAAGAGGCATGGAGATGCTTTGACTCAGCTGCAAGAACAATTGCGCTCCTTGGAGCGCCAGCGAGATGGAGTGGACCCTGTGGAAGTGGATTCGGAGTCAGATGCCGAAGGAGTCAAGCCTGCCATTGTACATCTGGAACAAGAGCTTGCTGGGATGCGGCAGGATTTCAAAGATCTTACCACTTACACTGCACAGCTCGAGCATCGCAATTATCAGATGATCGACAACATGCATTCGCAGATAATGGCTATGCCTACCAAGCTTGCAGACAATGGGTCACTCCATACAGAAGCTCTTCGCAAGTCGCCGGAACAGAAGGTTCACCCCAAGGGGGAAGGCAAGATCCCGATGATCCTCACGCCCGAGAAGCCAGAGAGACATGGGCGCTCCAGATCGAGAGGTCGAGGAGATTGTGGAGAGACAGAGAAGAAAGAGCCGGGGAAAGACGATGTTCATGCTGGATTGAAAGAGAAGCTGAGTGGACTTCCAGAGGTTTGTCAAGCAAAGATCCTGGGGATTCTGAACTCCAATCTGGACAGTTACCCGACCTTCGACAGTGTGGACAAACTCATCCAGGAGGTGATGTCGTCATTCACGGCAGCTGGCCCACCGGGACTTCTGCCTGTGAAGAAAGAGCCGGAGGAGGAGAAGGTGACTCCGAAGAAGAGGGTGAGGGATGCCCTTCTCCCATTCCGAGGCAATGGATCGGTGCCCAAGATTGGTGCAGACAGTTCGCCTGGACAGGTAGCGGCATCTCATGGACCCAAAAGGCCGGAGAATGCTATGCCAGATGCTATGAACGACATGGAATAGAAGGCATCTTGGCCTTCGATGTTTCACGAATTGACCATGAGGTTGCATTTTGCGCTGCTTTTGGTCGAGATCTATATGGAGTGCGGGATTGTCTCATGCTAGTGTCTGGGCAGGAACAGTGTGACAGAGCTGGGTTCCTCAAGAGCTCTGTCAGTGCCCTTGCTGGAGATGGTCCTTTTCCTTTTGGTGGTTTTTCGCCCACTGATGAGATATCAGGGGTAAACATAGAGTAGTTTTGGGGCAGTTGCTTCGAGAAGATGATGCTACCCCGAGTGTGAACTTTCAGGAATCCACTGCTTTGGGATGTAGTGGTCTCTTTTTTTCGTTTGCCTTTCCGAGCTGCTTCATCTCGGTTCTGTTAGAGATCTCCTATTCATCCTGGATACACTGGCTTGTTGGACGAGCCAGTGACTTTTCCTTTTCTGGGGTTGATTGGACTTTGTTGGTGTGTCTCTTCATGCCGCCTCTATGGGCATTTGCTCTAGTCAGTGCGGTGTATGAAGCTTCGGATTTTTGGCATACAAGGGTACATGGAAAGCTGTATACCTGGCCGGCGTTTTCAAGAATCACTGGTATCATTGGTTGGCTTTCCATTGCGGCTTTTATGAACATTGTTTGCTTGGAGGCAGCGGAAAAGGATGAAGTGGAAGCTGGCGTCAGTGGTGTGCATATCCTACTAGGCCTCTTCCGAGTAGTTCTTGGGATGATCTGCTTTCTGGCGGCAATTGTGATACTACATTGGAGAGAGCGACAATTTCCACGCTTTCCCCACTCTGCACGAAGATGTGGAGGGAGACGCTTGTTGCTGAGGCCGCGTAGGGGTGGTGGTTTGACAAGAAGTTTTGTGGCCCTTTTTCTTTTGGGCAATCTTGTCGGGGCTGAGTTTGTTACAGCCCACCAGCAGTGGCAGCATATTCAAAACGCAACCTCTACAGTTCCTGCTGCTGCTGTGGATGATGAAGCTCGAGATGCCTCTTGGCCTTGTGGGCGCTCTGGCTTGCACTCAGGATGCTTGTCCCTGAATGAAGGCTTTCGACCAAGATTCGGTTTTGGAGAATTTTGTAGGGAGGGCCATGACACTCTTGGCCACCTGTTTGACCACGAAGTTTGTCAACTCCAAACTGATGAGAGGTCTGCTCCTGGACACTACCAGATGTCCGGTCGAGCTGTAAATTCGGCTGGCCCAAATTTTGTTGGGGGAGGATTGACACCTAATGCCCCCCCCTGTGTTTTGGTGCTCCGTCCGCCAAACCTACGGATCTGTTAGTAGCACATGCACCGCAGGCTGAGCACCTGCTTCGTGCCGGTAAGGTCACCGAGGTTCCTGTCGGTTCTAGCGTCGGGAAAAACGCCCAAGGCGTTTGGAACACGAGCCGACTGAAGCAATATCCCGGTGCACTTTGCAAAGCGCTTGCACAGACCTTTCTAGATGCTCAGGCCGATGAAGGGGAGGCCGATGTTCCCGGTTGGTTTGAAGCTGCTGTACAGAAGTTGGTGGCCCACTTCGACACTGAGGCGCCGATGGGCCCTGACTACCATGCAGCGGCAGTGACTTCTGCCAATTCGTAATTAAACCACTAGTCACAAGCGAGACGCTCTTGGCGAAAGTGAAAGAAGAAAGAAGTGTAGTTCAAGCATTTCCCTCTATAAGTGCCCCTGTTTGTTAGCAATTCAGTATTCAGCTCGAGCTATGTTTTTGTTGATGTTGTGATGCAATGTCATGCATTTGTTGTGTCATGTTCTATGTTGTGATTGTGATTTGGGGGCTTTAATTAGAATTGATACGGTCCCACAACACCCAAGGTCCAGCAACTTACAAATTTAGTTTTAAGTGTTCAATTTAGTTTCTGACTTTAATTGGTTAACCTTAACCTGTCAACGTCCTAAGCCTCAGCCAGCATCATGGGCCACCAGCTACAAAGGTTCCTTCAACGTAAACACTAGCAAACCTTTTTCCACAATATTGGCTACAACATGGAAATGTTCAATACCCTTTTCCACAACATTAACGACAACATAGTTCAGAACCAATACGGCTTTACCAACAGAGATAGAGAGGAACGCCTGAAATAACTTGTTGGTGTCAATTCTGCAAGTCAAATCTTGCAATCTTGACCGCAAAATCAATGCCCGTTTAATTGGGTTATTGACTCACTTGGAAGGTTTTTCTATGTTTTGCAATCTTCTGAAAAGCACCATATCCGCAACGTCCGCAAGATTTTGACCGCCATGTTGGACCTGAAACTGTAGCAACCAAATGGGAATTCGGAACGGGAACTGGCGACTTGTAGGGGGGGAAGCTCCTATTGCGACGCCCCTGTTGGTTTGCCAACGCCATTTGCAAAAAGTCGGTGAACAGCCAACAGTGGTGCAATATTCATGGGCTGTCCCTTCAGAGAGAGAGAGAGAGAGAGAGTGTGTGTTGTTTTCTCTTGAAATGATTCCAGATGGGATTTGGTTTTGTTTGTATAACCTTTCCGAATGATTTGTCATTCATTCATTTGGCACCATCCGGCCTCGTGACCTAAACGCTCCGAAACTGGAGCACCACCGGCAGGGACGGTGGATCTCAGTGACTCAGGGGTCAAGACTAAAGGGTGACGTGAAAACCTCTCGGCAGCCGTAGACCTGAAGAGGTATGCCTTGCGGCAGCAGAACGTGAAAATGCGGGAGCAGATGCACCAGATGAGCCAGTCACAAAACCGCAGCTTCTCCAACTTCAGTGAGGATGTTCTTGTGTGGCTCGGAAAGGGGTGTAACAGTCATGCTGAGGTAGCGATTCTTCAGTTGCCAGTTGACCAGGCTTTTGAGGCCTTGCCCCAAACCAACAAGTGACATGATTGGGACTGGGGAGTGTCTCGTTTTTGGGACTTTCAATATGAGCACTGTCGCACATTATAGCGTTGAACTGGTTGAGGTTCAAGGTGTTGCAGAAAGGGATGAAACACTTTGGCTATCTGTTGGTGCACCAACTCTCAGCCAGGATTTGTGTCATCGAAGAACTTTTTATGCCAAGCTTATGCAAGATTATACCAACATCGCAGCAGATGGATGAATCAATCTAGGTTTTGGTGTCTAAAGAATTGGTATTGCTGGGGCTAACGCACCACTTGTAAAGCTTGTTAAGCACAACAATAATATTAATATTAACTAGTATGCAAAACACATCGAGCATCAAACATTTTTTGAGGACAGCTTTTGACGAACATACACATATTGTACATGAACACACATATTTATAAAGCTCGGGCATTCACATGAGAGTGCAACCTGTCAGTCCATAACTCGAATCAACTTCACCAGTTGGGAGCCAACCCGGAGGGCTTGCCCCTCAAAACTTCTCGAGACAGATTCCGACTGTTTCGATCTTGGTGTTTTCCAGCACCTTTTGGGACCAAGAAGCTACGAACGTTGCAGGAAGCGATCGACCCGTCGGACGGGTGACGGGTCGATCGACAGGCCATTCTTTTCGCTCCAAACCACCGGTGTCAGAGGCGCTCAATAGAGGCAGTGTACGCTATACTTCTCAATATAGTCACTGGGCCAGTGGACTTTTTTTGCGATAAATCCTCCAAACGGCTCTTGAAGGAGCCAGCTGGGAGATCAAATGGGGATGTTCACACAGATTTGTGGAACCTCTGACTTTTCCGGGGCTCTTTTTTGGACGTGTCATGTTTTCCGAGCCTTGAGACACCTGCGCCGCCGATGCCGAGGTATCGTCGAAGCGATTCGAGCGAGAGCCATTTTGACCGTCTAAGACGGACTCGAGAATTGGCAAACATCAATAGAATGGCAACTGCTTTTGAACAAAAGTAGTGCATGAGACAGCTTCACCTCTTGTCCGCACTCAGATCACCAGCGAGATTTTGCGGGAGCTTGGGGACTTTGGAGATCTCGGCAACAAACATAGTTCAAAAAAAGAAAAACAACTCGAAATGGATGGAGACGGAGACGGGTCTGGAACCATGACTTTGTTCCCGGAGACGGTTTTGTTGCAGTCCCGTTTTCGACTGGTCGTGCCGGTCCGACTGGTCCGAGATCCGGTTGTTTTCCATTGAATGCTCCATCTGAAAGCTGGCGACCTCCAGCTTTGGGATATGTGTGTCTTCCTTCATCATTTGGGTTTGGGGCTTCTCCCCTGGGTCATTTGGGCAGACGGCGTTTCCTTTTCATCCCTTCAAAGGCGGTGGGAACATGTCAATGCAACCATAATGTTCCTTTCTCCTGCTTATATCTTAATGTTGTTGGATATGTGCGTAATTATATATTTACAGTATGAGTCTTTATGAGACAATTATTAATATAGTCAATTATAGCATGCAGCGGCGGTGCGCTTTGATGACCGATCCGCGTTCCGAAAGTCGAAAGAAAGTCCATCAAAAAGCGAAACATGCAGAGACGAAGGTGTGCAGACACGGAGGTGTGCAGACCGGTCTCCTTTGCTTCGGATTCGGTATGGCGAATCCAGTTTTTCCCCTCCAGTCCGGGTCGACAGATTCTTGAGACGAAGACTGACGTGGCAAAGACGTGATCTCGCAACTGGACTGGAGAATGATTGAGTCATTGCCATTGACCAAGTTTTGCATTGGAGGAGTTGGACGATCATCTTCCCAAGAGTCAGTATCAATCGACAAGCAAGTGCTCATGCTTGATAAGCGAAGCAAAGCCCCACCTGAGAACACTTTGTCCTAGGAGCTAGCACTATCAGTATATAATGTCCATGGTCTCGAAAGTCAACCCCTCCAAGCGAAAAGCACGACTCCAGCTGCGAGCGCTCGCGCTTTCTGACCTGGGGACCTTTCCTCGAAGATCTTTGAAAACTGGGGGGGGGGCGGATTTCAAGCCACTGGGGCACGCGCAGGTCGAAGAAATGAACCTGAGGGATGTTTACGAGCTGGTGGAATGGTGATGATTTCCATGCTTCTTCACACGTTTTTTTTTGGGATATTTGATGAGATTAATTCAGAGGAAAAATCATTTGGGCCTGATGTACCTTGACCTTAAAGTTTAATGGTGTTTGAAGGTACTGGGATCCATCTTCTTGTAAAGGCAAATGTATTCAAGAGGCCACAATCAGCCGCTGAAGCAGATCAACATTGTAGCCGCCTGAGAAGCTAAGCGGCACAATTGCAGAATGGCCTCACCTTTCCTGAATTTGGGTAGTCAGGCGTTACATTGCAATGCTTACACAATGATTTCAATGACAGACCACAGCTTAGTGGGAGGTCAGAACCAATCCCTTTCCACCCAATATTTGCTGTGTCCATGGCGGGGAGCGAGTGGCTGGAGGCCCTCTCACATGGGCCGCCCTTCATACACCCCCGTTGGCCGTTGGGGCATCAAAACAAGGCTGCTTCTTCAGCCGGGCACAGCGTGGAGATGAAGTGACGCAAAGGTGTTGCTGACTCAAAAGGTAGCTCTACCATGCTCCACCAAGGTACTCTTAGGAAATCCCAGGCCGGGAGTTGAATGCATACCACCCTTATCAAGGCCCCTTATCCAAAACAATGTTTTCAGGTGCCAGACTTTGCTTCGGCACCATACCAAAGGGTTCAGTCTGAGTGTTCGGAGCTGCTCAGGCTTGACCGCTTCAGGTGAGCCTCGGGGTTTTCCCGCTTCGTAGCCCATGGGTGTTGATGGATGTTGAGGGTCAGCATGAGTTTGATTCTGCACGGGCACCAGAGGGTAGACTGGGTAGATATGAAACCAGACAGTGAGTGCCGAATTTTGGCAAAGTTCATAAAGTTCCTGATGATTCAGGCTTCGTTTTGGAGATGCATTGAGGTTTTCGACGATATGTTTGACGAGGGATCGGGATGTTCCATTCATGTGACAATGCCCGACTATGACTATGTCCAGCGAGTGAGTTTGATGCATCGGGTAAGTCGAAAAGGGAGGGAAGGAAGGAAGGAAGGAAGCACCAGTAGTTAAAGTCATACTATCAAAAGTACAGAGAAGGGTCGGTTGTTGGTTCCCACTCCAGGGGCCATCATAGTACAATAAATATATATAGTTAATTATATATAATTACATGGGTATGACCATTGTCATTGGTTGTCATCAGTGTCATCATAGGTATAGCCATTGGTTATCATTGGTTCGACAACATCTAGACCATTCGAGTGCTCTAATTTCTGTTGGTGCCTCCCCAGTGTTTCATCTCAGGACTCTTGTATTCCGTGGTCGTGTCAATACCGATACCAAGCCAGCGTGTTATATGCTTGAACCGTTCAATCAATATACCCTGAAAGATGGAACACAACCCTGCACGCACATATATAATTGACTTATAGACCAATACACATACAATATATATACTTGGTACCTAGAGGCGAGGGAACTCTAGTAGTGTAGTAGGTTCACGCCAGTTGCGATCTCATATTTTTGAAGAACTACTGTACCTCTATGAAGGGATCCCGGGAACTTCTGAAGGGCCAGCTTCTTCGGGGAAGTCGGTAAAATGTATAGAGCTTTTCAAACTCCAAGGCCGGAAGTCTTTGGTAATAAGAATTTCCCTACAGATCCAGTCTGACCAAGTATCATGACCTCCTGGTCCAGTATTTCCCTCGTAGTGTTTTTGCATGACTAAGGCCAGCAAAATGAGGTCCAACTGACCTCTAGGATTTGTTCATGTCGAACGTGGCCAGGTGGGTTTCCAGGCGGCCAATCCGTTTCGTGAGATCCCGTCTCGGCTCAAGCAAGTGGGATCGCACTGATGGATCATCGACTAGAAGAGAGTCCAGGATGGACTTACATAATTTTTTAACAAGCCTTTAGATGTTCCTTGATCGGGATTCCCCAACCAGGGCACTCTCTGGATTTTTTTGTGTATATGAAATTAATTGAAGATCATTGAAGTAGCTGACGGTGATTTGCCACACATACTAAATGATACAGTACTTGAACTATTCGCAACGAGAACACAAGACAGTTCAGTCACCAACTGGCAATCCTCACAGCCACATGTTGTTGTGGCTCCAGACCATGGCAGCCAATAGTATGCCCGCGATTTGAGGCCCTGACAACAAGGTGAACACACAGATCATGTAACACAGCACAAAGACAGTGTGGGTTTGGGATCTCTGTCAACTCTGAGTGGGTCGATTTCTATGTGCTAAGTCACCGCCCCGGTATTTTGGGCCACTTATATAGATCCCTTCACATGGCGAAGTCGGACATCCACTTGGTTGAAGATGTGCTACAAAGGCATGAGCAAGATCCTTGGCAGCGTTTATTTTGATCAGATTGATGAGGTATGTTTGATTGAGCTGACGATCATGGTTGACTATGCTGGTACGCGGGGGGGGTTAGGATTCAACAAACAACATTGTTATTTGTTGCTTTGAGGGGTTTGAGGGGCTTACTCATTTGTGTTGAATGTGTGAGGTTTCCCAAACTGTGTATCAGCTGCTTATCCAGGCTACCACACCAAGAGTTTTGACAGGAGCTTGGAAGGCATAGCTTTCTGAAAACCGCCGGGCACCGGGGCACCTCCCGGGCGCTTTTGAAAGGAGTCCTTGTTCACCAGCGCTCGTTAAGAGAAGAAATCCGGCGCCTGGCCTGGCAGCTGGACCAGCTAGGATTCGGCGATTCGGATTGATCATGAGAGACTCGGGAGTTGTGGCCATAACTACCCATCCGTGTGCGTCAACATGCTTCAAGGGTGACTTGGTCAATTGGTCAAATACTTGCAAAGCATCCGGCATCCATGACGCCCAAACGTTCTAGGCCAGCGAAAGAAGTCAGCGGTATACTGACCACTTGCCAAAACAGACCCTGGAAGCAAGTTGCTTGCTGTCCGCTTGAAAAGGACACACGCACAAAAAAAAGCAAACAGCATTTGGGTGTTTTGGGTGGATCTAGTGTTTGACCCAGACTCAGCGGGCTCAATTGTTGGGTTCCCACCTTGGAAAGGCCGGGCTATGTATCTTTTGGCATGTGAAGAGAGTGTTCTTGCCCCGTGATTTGCTTTGTTTTCGTGAAGTTTGAGCTGTTTGATAAGAATCATTACTGTAGATCTAAAGATAACATAATAAAGCAATTCCATTTGATGTCCCAGAGTCGTGCTGTGACACCATTCCATTTGATGTCCCAGAGTCGTGCTGTGACACCCGAGTTTTCAAAACTTTCAGTACCTGCAACTCTGGTCCACCCAAGCCAGTGTGGTGCCGCGTTCAATCCCACCAAGTGCGCAACAAGAATCAGCTTCCAACTCGATTGCTCCCACTGTGTGCTACCCCAAATCTTGGGGCCCAACAGGTATCCAAAGCTTCATTTGGAATCCCACCTAACATCAACCATTGACTTTGACACAGAGATCCTGAAGCACCTGCCATACTCACATCATCTCACATCCCATATCGGAGGAGACCTTGCGGCACTTGAACTCCTGGTTCCATCACTTGGACCAACGCCTTGAGCAGCTCCTCATGGCAACGCGGACCTCGCACCGCGAGTGGCACTCACGCGGGTGGCGCTCACGCCTGAGCCCACGCCGGTCCTCACAAGGCGTTTTTGGAGAAGGAATGGGGGGGTCGGATCTTGCGAAAAGTAATGGGAGAGATGGTTGAGAGAGTTAATGATAGTTAAACCATATAAACAATCCCCCCTTACCCCCCCTTAAGGATCCAAATACTCTTTGCAGTGATTGGAGAGTCTTTTCTGGGTCCAAGTGCTTCTTAGAAGCTATGTGGATCCCCGGTCCGCTAGTCCCTTCCTTGCCTGTTTACCGCCACACCGCTGACGTGGGCGAATCTTTGATTCCGAAAAGCCAACGCATTGGCTCAAGCAAGCCTCATCGGGCTGGGTGCGACAAGGAGGCTTTCTTGAAAACATGTCCCTAACGCTGTTATTGGCTTAAACATTTTTTGGGTGACGCTGAGGGTGGCAGATTCTGTTC